GCTGGGGTGCTCTCCCCCAGGTGGCCAGAGGGGGAGACAGAGTCAATGGGGGGCGGAGTCAGTGGGAATGGCACTGCCTCCCTTGGGGGTTGGGGAGGAGGGGGGGATCAAGCCCCCCCATCAGGGTGAGGTCCAGGGGGCTTCACACTGCCCCCCCCATCCCATCTCGGACCATCTGTCCCTCATGCGCTTCAGACCCTCATTGCAGCGGCTCCCCCAGGTGGCCAGAGGGGGAGACAGAGTCAATGGGGGGCGGAGTCAGTGGGAATGGCACTGCCTCCCTTGGGGGTTGGGGAGGAGGGGGGGATCAAGCCCCCCCATCAGGGTGAGGTCCAGGGGGCTTCACACTGCCCCCCCCATCCCATCTCGGACCATCTGTCCCTCATGCGCTTCAGACCCTCATTGCAGCGGTGGGGAAAGGACAATGGCTGGGAGCCTCCCTGGAATTGCTGGGGCTGAGGGGCCCAATCCGGCACCAAGTGGATCCTCTGCTCTGGGTTTAGCTGTTAGACGCGTAGCAGGATGGGCCTGCAAGCCCCAGTCCAATTGGCTGGGCCAAGCCAAGAGCCCTGGCTCCTATGGCAGAGGGAATCTCCCAGCAAGAATGTCATGGTGGGGTCAGATTGCCAGCTGCAGTGCCCCCTGCTGGCCCCCAGAGAAATTAACCCCCTCCTGGTCACTGCACAAGCTACTTTTGACCTCCCGTCCAACAACAGCAGAAAGGCCTGAGGGAGCAAGGGACTTGCCCAAGGTCACATGGTGACTCAGTGGTGATGCTGGGGGCTGGACCCAGGAGACCTGGCTCCCAGCCCTTCCTGCTCTAACCACAAAAGAGTCCCAGCGAGAGGCTAGGGCAGTGTTTCTTAAACTGTGTTTAAGGCAGTCGGATGTGTGCCGTGAGAACAACAGAATTCAAAATGGCCACCCTTAAAGGAGCAAGCAACTTTTTTTTTCTTTTTTGCTCAATAACTTTCCCCCAAACCATTTTTTTCCCTCAATAAAAAAAATTGTTTGGTGTTCCTCAGTATTAAAAAGTTTAAGAAACACTGGGCTAGGGAATGCAGCAGGCAAACTCAGAATCCGGACTCCTGGGCTCCATATCTGGGTTTGCTGCTTGTTCTTGGGCAAGTCTGTCTATCCAGCTATCACTGTTCACTCATATCTATCTATCTATCTATCTATCTATCTATCTATCTATCTATCTATCTATCTATCTATCTATCTCTTTCAAATGACTGACTACCCACCATAGCCGTTTGTCCATTGATCCAACAGTTAATTCCCCTCCCAGCTAACAACAGGCCCCATATTTCCATCTGTATTTGCCCAGCGACAGCATCCGGCCGCTGATTCTTGCTCAGCCTTTGTGCAGGCGACTCTCCTGGAGGCCTGGGGCTGGAGAGCCTGCAGCTGCCCTGGATGCTCTCTTCATCCCCTTCCTCCTTCAAGCGAGGCCCCCAGAACTGGACACAAGGTCCCCGCTGGCCAGCTGAGTCTCAGCACTGCTGGAGAGACTCACGCTGCCTGAGTCAGGCCCGGCCAAAGAGTTTGCGGGGTCCAAGGCGGCATGCTGTGGCTGGCTGCGCCATGTGGATGGGCAGCGCATGAGTGATCGGGAGGGTGGGCGCTGGCAGCACAGGACCTAAGGCAACTGCCTTGCTCGCCTGCCCCTAGGCCTACTGACAGTTTCCGTCTGTCCTGAGACCCATGGCTAGATAACAGCTCCCCAGGGACACGCCTCTCCCTGCCTCTGTACACGCCCCTTATCCCCAGGGACATGTCCCTGCCTATCCCTGTACACGCCCCTTATCCCCAGGGACATGTCCCTGCCTATCCCTGTACACGCCCCTTATCCCCAGGGACATGTCCCTGCCTATCCCTGTACACGCCCCTTATCCCCAGGGACATGTCCCTGCCTATCCCTGTACACGCCCCTTATCCCCAGGGACATGTCCCTGCCTATCCCTGTACACGCCCCTTATCCCCAGGGACATGTCCCTGCCTATCCCTGTACACGCCCCTTATCCCCAGGGACATGTCCCTGCCTATCCCTGTACACGCCCCTTATCCCCAGGGACATGTCCCTGCCTATCCCTGTACACGCCCCTTATCCCCAGGGACATGTCCCTGCCTATCCCTGTACACGCCCCTTATCCCCAGGGACATGTCCCTGCCTATCCCTGTACACGCCCCTTATCCCCAGGGACATGTCCCTGCCTATCCCTGTACACGCCCCTTATCCCCAGGGACATGTCCCTGCCTATCCCTGTACACGCCCCTTATCCCCAGGGACATGTCCCTGCCTATCCCTGTACACGCCCCTTATCCCCAGGGACATGTCCCTGCCTATCCCTGTACACGCCCCTTATCCCCAGGGACATGTCCCTGCCTATCCCTGTACACGCCCCTTATCCCCAGGGACATGTCCCTGCCTATCCCTGTACACGCCCCTTATCCCCAGGGACATGTCCCTGCCTATCCCTGTACACGCCCCTTATCCCCAGGGACATGTCCCTGCCTATCCCTGTACACGCCCCTTATCCCCAGGGACATGTCCCTGCCTATCCCTGTACACGCCCCTTATCCCCAGGGACATGTCCCTGCCTATCCCTGTACACGCCCCTTATCCCCAGGGACATGTCCCTGCCTATCCCTGTACACGCCCCTTATCCCCAGGGACATGTCCCTGCCTATCCCTGTACACGCCCCTTATCCCCAGGGACATGTCCCTGCCTATCCCTGTACACGCCCCTTATCCCCAGGGACATGTCCCTGCCTATCCCTGTACACGCCCCTTATCCCCAGGGACATGTCCCTGCCTATCCCTGTACACGCCCCTTATCCCCAGGGACATGTCCCTGCCTATCCCTGTACACGCCCCTTATCCCCAGGGACATGTCCCTGCCTATCCCTGTACACGCCCCTTATCCCCAGGGACATGTCCCTGCCTATCCCTGTACATGCCCCTTATCCCAGGGACATGCCCCCACCTACTCTTGTACAAGCCCCTCTAGCTATGCATCCCCAGACACACCACTACCCTTCCCTGCACACTCTCCTGTAGCTCCCTATCTCTGTGCCCCTTTAGCTCTCTCCTGATCCGCCTGCTTCTCTGTCCTTCCATCCCCACACACACACCACCCCTGTGCTAGCGCTAAGGCCCCATTCACTTAGTATCTGAACGTCTCCCCACCCTGCTTGGGAGAGGCAAGAGATCTTGTTCCTTAGTATCTGGCGTGGATTTGTACAGTGCCTGGCATCGCCTGGCCACTACCACAACACAAACCAGAGGGGGGATTTGCCCCGCTTCCCACAGGGAGTCTGGTGGGGAGCTCAGCCCATCTCAAGACCCTAACCACTGGGCCCTTCTCCCCCTGTGCTCTGATCAAGCCACCGCAGACCCTTCTCTGCGCTCAGCAAGGACCGGGCGCCTCCTCTTTGCAGCCCAACGCTGCGTCTGGCCCATGCCGCCAGGCCCAGCACATCAGCCAGCAAACGGCTCCGCGCTGTCATCACGGGCCTTGGAGGAGCCCCACTGGGGTGGTGGATGGAACTGCCCCTCAACCACCCTACTGCTCTACCCCTGCAGTGCCCCCTTAGCTCTTCTGGGAGGAGCAAACTCCCATTTCATTGGCGGTGGGGTACAACAATCCCCTACCCCAGACACCTCATTTAATCTAATCTAATCTACCTCTCACCATCCATCCCTCCCTCCTTCCCCTGTTCCTTGCTCCCTCCTTCCCTCCCTTCGGCAGCCCCTGCCCAGCCAGTCTCTTTCCTTTTGACAGCCAGACGCAGCTCCCCACGCCCCCACAAAGAGCAAAGCTGAGGCCTGAGATCTGAGCTAAACTGCTCCAGGCCCATCCCACCGGGGAGGCAGGTCAAGGCCCCTGCCAGCGGGACTTGCCCAGCACCAGCCCCTGCCCCGCCCCCC